CAATTAAAATTATCATCATAGAATTCTGCTAAGCTATAATAAGGTCTCCCAGAGAAAAAGTCTTTCAACTCTTTCTTAAGAGCTCTAAGGTCATTGTGATTCATTATGACTCATTATGTAAGTATACTCTTTTATTAATTCTCGCTCACATACGAATATTTGATGATGGACAATAGAAAAAAATTCCCCTTTAGTGGTGGTCGTTATATGTACCACCATGCAACTTCAACAGTTTTACGTGAACATGCGCCAATTATGAATAATTTTTAGAAATGGTCATGGATAGAAGAAGTCCTCTACCATTCAGACTTGTGGGAATGACCGAGGAAGAAATGTGGGATCAGCTGTATGATGATATACCTAGTGGTGCAGAATATTTAGCATCAGATATCGGAAGTGATGCCGAAGAAGAACCAGTTGTATCTGGTATCGTTCTAGAACATGCTGCGGATATTGAACATGCAGAACTGAACATTCAGGAAGAATATGACTCAGAATCAGAAATACCACTTTCGGAACTTCTGAGAAGAAATCCCGAATTGAAACGCAAACAATTAGTAGGAAAACGAACGAAATCATCCCAGGTTGCTGTGAAGTGGGATAAACTGCAAACTGTTGACGAACGTCTCACATTTGTGGAACCGAGTGGAATTTTTGATTTTGTGAGAGATTTCAATGGCTCAACTCCCGAAAAATTGTTCGAATTCTTCATGACAACAAACGTAGTTGAACACATTGTATTCCAGACTAATTTGTATGCCCAACAAGTACAGCAACGACTGTACAGCAACGACCTTATTTTCCAACCAATAATATGGAAATCAGGACCTTCCTAGGTATAAATATTCTGATGGGAATAAAAGTTCTCTCTAGTTATCTATTGAAGCAGCGCCCCAGATATGCACGATTCTTATATCAGCCAACTTATGAATGTTAATCGTTTTAGTTGGTTATTAGGTAATTTAAATAGGATTATTAGGGACTGGAGATTGACACAATTCACTGAAAATGAGATACACACAATGTGTGGTGTGTTAGAGGTATTTTAAAGTATTCTCATATTTTTGATATTTTCCTCCAATTTTTTAGAGATAGTAACATTGAATATTTTTAACATGATATGAAAAGAAACTTGTGATAACGGAAGAGAAGTGTTCGTTTGGATGAAAAATGAAAGAAATAATATCAGTTCTCACTTACGTGCAAGTCGTTGTTTTCAAATATGTATATAGATCAAAGAGGAAGAATACTCTTCCTCTTTGATCTATATCCTCTTTGGGTGTCCAATTTCCATGTTTTTTGAAATCCTATTTTTTCTTCAAAGTAATGTCAATAGAAAAATGTGAGGTGAATGCATGTTCAGTGACTGCAGACTTCTCGGTCTGTCCCAATCGGCAACTCCGCTTCTGCTCGACTAGGCGGGTGCCAATGCTCCTTTTCGTCTGACAGCTCTAGCTGAAAAAAGGCATAAAGTCAACTATAACTGGCAGAACAGCAAGTATATCTCTTCAAGATCTGGCCATTAGGTTCAGGGTCACTAGGAGCTACCCTCAAGATAGGGCACTATCACCCCTCCGATGGTCGCTCATGGTGGAAGGTCTGCTTGATGTCCCTGACAGAAGAGATTTGCAAGCTTATGCAGATGACTTCGGACGTCGATTTTCACAGTGTACTCCAGCAAAACTGTGATAGTCCACTTCACCAGGAAGAGGAATCTGGATACTTTTACTCCATTTTCTCTCAATGGTGTAGTTATTTCATTTGCATCAGAGATGAAGCATTCAGGTATTGTCCTTGACTAGTCGGAATGCTCACTTGAAAAAAATTATAAACAACGACACACCGTTCTCTGAAGGCATATCGAAGGGTTTGTAGTAAATTTTGGGTCTTGAGTCCCAAACAAATCCATTGGATATACGCGATGAGAGGTCAAATCAAATACGGAGCAATTGTCTAGTGGCTGAAAGCATCAAAGCAAACGGTTCAGATTTTTCTTTCTGGTTTGAAGATATAATAATAATAATAATAATATCGTCTTTGTTATGTAGAGATTACAAATCATTACATAATTTGAAGAAATAATATATTAAAATCTCTTTCTTACTTGAACAATACGAGGCGAGATTTAGCCTTCGACTACTCTTACTCTACATTATTCACTGTGCAGATAACAGAGAGGGTGTAATCATGAACATTTGCGTGCAAAAACGTGTAATTTGACAGTTGGCGGCGTGTAATTTGACCGATGTCTGTTGGCAACACTGGTGCAGAGACAGGATTGGAAATACCGACACCGAATGATTTCTAATTTCTCTGTTCACACCGTCGCGTCGGTTGCCGACAGCACTTCGTATTTTTTCTATGCGACGGATGCTCACAATAGTAAGCTTACAATAGTAAGCATCCGTCGCATGGTGTGGATCCTCACTGTCCTGAGACATCAGGAGAGAAATTGAAATTCGGTTTCACCGTATATAAGAATCTACATCTTAAGTTTGGTTTCGAGGGAAACAAACTATCACAAATTACAAGCAACATCAGATTTGACCGAAATTCCTTTCTCAACTGTAAGCAGAGCTATCGCCATGGGAGGGGGATGGGGGGAGCCTCCCCCCCTACTTTTTCGACTTGGGAAAAAGTTGGGAAAAGTTGGGAAATTTTGGGCCATGAAGATAGAAAAAATAATGGTAAAATTCCACAAACAAAATCCCAAAGACTTATTAATGTGCCTAGCAAGTGAACACTTATTTTGTACAACTAAAATATTCAAAATTAATAATAAAATATAAGATACAGAAAAGCAAAATGACAATGAACGAGACATTTGTTTAGGTTTTTATAGTCAGAACTAATGAAATTCACCACGAAGCATTGTCACCTTCAAACACACGAATACTAGTTTTCACTCTTGGAGCAAAAGCAGTGAAATATAAGCCAGTTCAGATAAAAACGAAACTTAAAGTAGAAACATTCGAACATCATTCAAATCTGTTCCTTCTTTTGTTGAACTCAAGAGCAAACGGTAGGAAAAAACATGAAATGAGAAAGTTACTCCATTCTCATAAGATATTTTTTGTCGATAGGGCTTGATTCGTAAATTTGATTCATCGACTATTACGAACAAATTATGACTCACGAATATAAATTTTCAATGCTTTTCCCTACGATATTCAATGCTTTCCTACGATAGCTTAGTCATAATTTCAAATTAGGATCGTGATATTTAACGTTTCTATAAATCATAAGATATTTACGTTTATGAGGGGGTCTAATGTTCGTATAATAAAAGAGACACGGATGAAATGAATTTGGGAAAAACTTGCTGAAATCTTTATTTTTTTATGATTTGTAGAATCTTCAATAAACAAAGACCAACAAATTATTGTCCTTGAGTATCATCATGAAATTCTGGGAGAATTAACCCAGAAACTCTAGATTTGAGAAGGTCGAAATGTAGCGATAATAGTGAAGGTCAGATTACTACTAGCAAGTCTTTTGATATACTTGACACCACAAACGAGTAATTCTAATCCAAAATACCAGCATTCCAGCCATTGTTTTCAAANATCATATTTCTTGTATGTCTTTATCTCACTTTAAAACTAACACAAAAGAAATGTCTCACATGTAATCTATAGCTGTTACGAAATTTGAGAATATCTATAATTTGAGATTTCTTCTTTGTTTTTGTAAACTGGATATTTGTATATATGTATCAGTGGATATTGTTTTGGGTGTATACCTGTATGTATCACAAATCAGAGTAAATGAATAAATAAATAAATATTTGGTTGTTTAGAAAATTTGTTACGAGATTTATGATCTCTCAAGTTCCTGAAGAATAGCATTGTTTGGAAAAACAACGGTGAACATTTATTACGCATCTACCTACGTTGTTTTTGTCAAATTAGTCACATCTCTAAGATTTTAATGAATGTTTATTTTAAAAGGTTGCACTTCTGAAACACAAATGAAACATTTCCAAACACGATGGCAGGCGAAATGGGTAAGTTGATATACAATATATTAATCATATGGAAAACACGGTTCACGCTGAGTCAGATAAGTGTTTTCACAAAAACTTGAAGTTCGCGAAAGTTACGATACGTAGTAAAAATAATAAAATTTTCAGCTGGTCAAAACAATTAAAGCTAAGCATGAGATCGCTTTACAGAAATAAAGAGATAATGTTAAAAATAACTCTACCTAATTTCAATTCATATATTTCCTCCCACAACGGAAAATTTAGTGGGGACTATGAAGTTTTATTACACTTTCATTGCTCCTTGTCAACAGATGTTCTCTGACTTTTCCGAAGAGTTCAAAGAGGCTTGAATAACTTCTTTTTTGTGCAAGTCTAGGAGTGGAAATGAGTGCCAAGCGCCATCACAGTAAGATAGTGAGTATGAAAATATTTTAAGTGACTTTTCGTATCATACCCACCACTTATTTACTTATATTTGATAAACTATTAGTAACAATAGCTGGACTGGCAAAATATTTCAATTTCTTTCATTGAGATTTAGTATTTGTGTGATGTTTATAATATTATTAGACTTGGCAGTCACTACCGAAGCGAGTTCAACACTGCAGAACAATTTTTTAGAAAAACATTCAGGTTGATATGTATTGAAATTCATGGAAATTTGGAGCCAATATTAAACTTTCACAAGAAGTTTTCGAAAAAACAGACAGTTTCTAATTCGATGAAAAGTTTTATTGATGCAGCGAAGGACTAATAATGGAAAACCTTCTGATGAGTACATTGCTGGCTGAAACTTTCATGGATAATCTAGAGACTAAAATCAATAATAATAAGTTGATTAACAGTTTCTTGTACTGGTATAGTCGAAGTAAACGATGTTGTGCACTCTTAAAGTTAGCGGCACTCTCGAATGCCAAAAAAAAAACAATAAATACAAACGAACCGGCAACGAACTAGTCCACATGGACTATACCTACACTTGNTCTTGTTTACTGGTACTAGTCAGTAGGTATATCTTAGTTTCAAGTTTAGTTTGTAGTAAGGGTCTGAGTGGAAGACCAGTTTCTCTCTTCCTGGTGTTGAAAGAAAACTGAACTCTCACCTTTTATTTACCTACTTTTTTTATTGAAATTTAATATTGGTTGTTAATTTTTGGTGAATAATAAACGTATTATTATTATTATTCATTACAGTCCATCAAAGTACCGAATAAAAATTCGAGAAGAGACGAAATACAAAGTTTTTAAATGTATAACAATTTGTTTGGACGTGGCTTACAGAACAAATAATAATAACTCAAGCAAATTTATTGAAAGTAATAAAGACAAGACTTCAGTGTCGGATACATCAGAAGTATATAAGTTGACTTGTGGTTCTTGCCCAAAATTTTATATTGGCCAAACGGGGAGAACTTTTCCTAAAAGAATCAAAGATAATAGTAGTCTTGGATGGTAAGATCAATTCCACATTTGCAAACCATCTTTCAGTAGACGGACAAGAGTTCAATCACGACTATGACGGGTTAAATTCAGAAGAGAAAATTTTCATTTTCATTTATTTGTTCAAAAAGTTGATTCAGTGCTTATGAAATGATTTTTTAACTAAAATATATTTGAATATTCTTCTATTAGCATTGTTCTGACGGCAGCCAGTTGATTGGCATGAGTGGTTAGTTACACCCACTGAATCAACCGCTACCCTGAATGTAGGATCGATCCCAACTGTGAAACGCTGGGTTCTTACTGCTTATTGTCTGATCAGTGCTAGGATCACACATTGAAAGGAGATACTTCGTTAATCCCTAATTCGCACAAGTTTCAATTTTTCAGGGTTGTATTCCATATTTAAACGATAGCTGGCTAACAACAATTTTTTTATTTTCCATGATACAACCTGATGGTGTCTCAGAAACGAGATACTGAGTTACAAGAGTTACAGAGTTATTTCGGGATTTTTTTCAAATATTTCATTTAATTTATGAGATATGTATACGGGTACTGTAATTACTGTAACGTACTCTAAAGAAATACTTTTTTCTAGGGCTCCAAATCGAGAAGTCGATCGAAGTCGTCTAATATTAGTGAAAGGCTGATTTCCAAAGATTTTAAAAAATGTGAAGGTGAACCGAAGTACTATGTAAATATTTCCAAAATAATGGGAAGGTAAGTAGAATCGATTTTCAGGATAGCTGAGTTAGGTACTTTCATTGATTATCGTAACTTCCTTATTTCACCTCATCTTTTCATTTCTTATCTCTTATCTACTTCAATCACTTCATCCTGTTGGCTATATCTTTGATCTAACTCCTCAATGATTGAATAAAACTGGCCGATACTTGATGAAAATCCGTATTAAAACTAAGTAATACACTTTATTGTATAATTTTCACTATAAAGGGTTTTACAAAAACCGCGACACGTGTTTCGCTATACAAAAGCTTTCTCAAGCGTAAAATAATTTATTTATCTGAATAACTCGAAATTTCAAGTAATTATTAGTGTACTCAACCCAACCTGTTCTTCAAGGGTAGTTGAGTCCAATAATGCATTCACGGTTCGGCCTAGCACAGAAGCCATGGGGACTGTAAGTTATCTTGGAAAAGTAAGATTTGAGTTTTCTGTCGACCGCGTAGAAATAATTGACTTCAACAGTGTATTAGTATTTCAAAATAGAAACACTGATGGGACATGGCAAGTCGAAATAACACTGTCGTATCATGAATTCTCCATAATTGGAAATAATTTTCAAGGACAAAACGCAAGCACTACAGAAAAATCCTTAAAGCACTCTAAGAGAAGTGGCAGTGCAAAAGTAGCGATTCACGATGGATTTGAATCGCTACAGATTAAATTTATTGAGAAAAACGATCTCAGGAAGTTTAATCCACGTAAACACATTTCTCCAAATGAAAGAGTTCTTAAACAGTTGAATTTAACCTCAAAACAATGAGCACATATTTCTGATATGTACATGTAATGATTGACGATGACAGGCACTTCATCAGGACCAGACGCCTTGTTGATATCCAGACCCCTCTTTCCCAGAGAACACTTTGGGCAAGTGCCCAGGGTCCTGCGATCGATAGGGCCCCCTCAGATCAAATACAAAATCCCTAGTACCTATCGGATCACCAAACGATAACCAATATTTATCACCAAAACACATCGAACAAATCGAACCTAAATTACTGACTACAATACCAACTTACTAGCTTTTACATGCGGAAGCTATTCTTCTCTCGCCCAAAAATGAGGCTCTCCGACTTCACCATGCTTAGATACAGTCAAATATATAATGTAATACTGAGCACATACACATTTTAAAGAAAAGTCATCAGCAGTACACTTATCAGTGTGGCTCGCTCCATTTGAATTGAGCGAACGAAGCGAAGTATGAAGCTCTAAGTTTAAATTAGTAGGTGTACATGCTGCTGGGTGTGTATCGGAGGCAACAAAGTTTTTTGATGGTTCAGAAAGTGTACAGTTTTTTTTCTGGCTCTACCCGTCGATGGAATATATTGAAAGATAATTTAGGTTAAAAAAAGTTGTTAAAAGTCTTTCACAAACCAGATGGTCAGCCCGAGCAGATGCTGTAAGCGCCTTGCATGAAGGTAACGAACAAGTTATAGAAGCTTTGATATCCGTCGTCAGGCACGAGAAACTTGAGACGAAGCCCTTAGTCTGTCCAAAAAAATGGAAAAACTCGAATATATTATACTAACGGAAATTTGGAACTGTATATTGGAAAAAATAGACAAAATAAGTAATTATTTTCAGAAAGAAGCAATAACACTAGACGTTGCAACTAATATGTTTACTTCACTTGATGATTTTATTATCAATCTCAGGGATAAATTTGATTACTTCGAATCGTCTGCCAAAGAAAGAAACCCGAAATCTGACTACAAGGACCTATCTCAAAGAACAAAACGCAGAAGTTCCCGCCAGATTTTTTTAACGGCTCTGTGCCGTCAGTCCAACTGAATGGAAGAGAGAAATTTAAAATAGAAAGCTTTTTTCCCATAAACGTAAACGTTTTGATTTATCTTTTCGCTTGAAAACTCCGAATTCTGAAGAGTTGAGACAAAGTTGCAAAGAATTTGCTGAATTTTATTGTGAAGATGTTAATGAGAAAGGGTTAGAAATAGAATATTTGCATTCAACAGAATTCTTGAAAATTGTTGTATATTAAAAATATATCAACTTTTGAATGAAAACAAAATTGACACATTTCTAAATGTAGAAATCGCAATGAGAATCTTTTTAAGCATAATGGTAACTTACTGCAGTGGGAAGCGCTTCTTCTCCAAATTGAAAAGAATTACAGTACAGTAAGTTATATTAGGTTAAATAAATTGCAGAGAAAGCCATGGAAACAATTAGAAGAAAACCTGTATTGTCATGTCAGCAACATTATTAGCCCCAATCAACACGGTTTCATGGAAGGATGTTCAACCACCACCAATCTTGTAACAATCACTCAATGTCTCAGACTGATGTCATCTACATTGAATTTTCTAAAGCGTTCGACAGCTTTGACCATAGTATCCTGCTCAACAAGCTTTCAACTTTTGGGTTATCCAATGAATTAGTTGCCCTCTTCAAGTCGTATTTTCACAACCGTAAGAAGTACATCCAACTCAATGGCATCAAGTCAATCGAATATATAGCCACATCTGGTGTACCACAAGGATCAAATCTAGGACCCCTACTGTTCAATATGTTTATTAATGATATCGGAGCTGTGATTGATGTCAATTTCCTTTCATACGCAGATGACTTGAAACTCTATCACAATATAACATGTTCTAATGATTGCGAACGTCTCGCCCTGAATTTAAATCGCGTTGCTACATGGTGTCGGAAGAATAATTTATCTCTCAACATATCCAAATTTAATGTAATGTCTTACTCACTGAAAACAAACTTGAATTTACACAACTACGTCATAAACAATCAAGTTCTGGAGCGTCCTGACACACTCACTGATCTAGGTGTTACTTTTGATTCATCCCCCTCTTTCGATAAACATATTGACACTACTCTAACAGCAGCTCGCATGTATGGATTCTTAGTTAGAAATACAAAAGACTTCAACATCGAGATTATTTTATTTCACTTTTGTTCGATCTAGGCTGGAATATGCATCTGTCGTGTGGAGTCCCTACTATCAGGTTCATATAAATCACCCAGAAACCCTACAGAAACGCTTCCTAAAATATATGTCTTATAAACTTGGAGGCACGCATCCTACTGTAGGAATCCCCTATTATAAATTGCTTGTAACTCACAATTTTTGTTGTCTCGAGGTAAGGCGTAAATATTATTCATCCCTTTTTTTATTATTCAAGGTCATAAACTGCTCTCAGCCGTTACATATGTTGAGTTTTTGGGTTCCTAGACGTTCATCTAGGAATAGTGTCACATTTTATCTCAACACTCCGCGTACAAATATAATGAAAAAAATCTCTAATTTTTACAATGTGCGATACCTCTAATTCTGTTAGTCATGCCCTAGATATATTCAACTGCCAGATTATACAAATCAAAAGACATTTCCTAGGTAACTGACAGCTCTGTTTTCATTTTTATTTTATATAGATCCACAAATTACTCCCTATTCTGTAATTGCGTTCATCCTGTAGAATAGTGTATGAAATAAATAAATAAATATCGCCTGTAAGTTCTACAATGTTGAAAAGTGAATAAAAAATCATTATTTATGACAATTCAATATTCAAATTGAAGACTCAAATAAAATCCATTGGTTTTACAGGTATATGGTGGCCAAAAAGGACCTATCACCAGGAGAGGTGATTTTAAGTGAATTACCATTAGTGGTGGGACCTTGCACTGGCAGTAAATTACAATGCTTAGGATGTTACAAAAATGTCGAAGGAGAAAACGGTTTCGTCAAGTATGTATCCAAATTCTTTGGAACAATCTCTATAAAATTTATTACAGATGCAGAGGGTGTGGATGGCCGCTTTGTTCACATACCTGCCCAGGTCTCAAACAACGTCTAGGACATACAGATGTAGAGTGCTCCACCCTCAAAGACTGTAACTCTTCTTATTTTCTGAATTACGAAGACGTATCAAGAATGAGGGTTCATCTTCAGGCAATTGTTCCCCTTAGATGTTTGCTTTTGAAACGGATTGATCCAAAGTCTTACAATCTACTTTTAGACATGGAACATCATAACGATATAAGACAAAATATTCCAGAAGTTTGGAGTGCTAACCAAGAAAATGTTGTGAATAGGATTATTAGGGACTGGAGATTGACACAATTCACTGAAAATGAGATACACACAATGTGTGGTGTGTTAGAGGTATTTTAAAGTATTCTCATAATATAAATGGATTTGAAATCCCTGAAAGAATCTGTAAAAAAAATACATACAAGCAACAACCAAAAAACAAAAAAAAATTAACTATTAACACCAGCAGAAAATTAAAAAATAACAACAAAAAATGGAAATTAGAAGATTCCAAACCAAGTTACTTCACAACGTTTCGATTGTTAGTATCTACAATCGTCTTCAGTTATCACCCGAACTATATTATTAAAGGGGAGCTGTTGGAAGGTAGGTTGCACTATATCATTTACTGGAACTATACCATCCAGAAACACCAAAAATAGTCAATTTCTCAATGTAAGCTTTTTATACCAATTTGGGTCAAAACGCCCCTTTTCCTAGGCTTAACATTAGTTTCGATAATTACCGCTCGGAGATGGAAATTTCTTGTATGTAACGTATTCTAAAAACACTTTATTGTGTGATTTTCACTAGATAGTTTTACAAAAACGCAACACGTGTTTCGCCATACAATGGCGAGATAGACAAATGGTGAGTATCTCCAATTATTTCCAGTTTGACGGAAAATTCTATTCATGCAATGAAGGACTAATAATGGGGAACCCTTTGAGTCCTTTGCTGTCGGAAATTTTCATGGATAACATAGTGTATGAAATCCATAATAATCAGTTAGCTAACAGTTTTTTGTACTGGTACAGAAACGTAGATGATATCTTTGTATGTTTTACTGGTACTGATAGGGAATTAGGCAAGTTCATTGAATATGCCAATTCCATCCACCCGTCAATAAAATTCACCTGAGAGGGAGGTAAATAATTCAATAAATTACCTTGACTTAACCATTACGAAAAATAACAATAAACATGAATTTGCAATTTTTTCACAAACCATCGAACACAGACATTATCATACATCATTCCTCCACACACCCTTACCAGCATAAAGTTGCTGTATTCAATAGTATGCTTCACAGATTATTGAATATTCCACTGTCTGATAGGGAGTTCCAGAAAGAGCTGAATTTGATCAAACAAATCGCGGTTAATAACGGTTACAACGTAGATATTATAAACGCCATTCTTACCAAAAAACTTCAAAAGCAATCCATGGACTTGGTCTACCCATATTCAAGATGCGATGACGTCAGTTATAGGACATTGGCATATTTGGGTGAACCAACCAGGAATATTGCCTGTTTTTTGAAGAAAGAAGGCGTAAACGTGGCTTACAGAATGAATAATAATCTAAGTAAATTTATTAAAAACAATAAAGACAAAACTGCGTTGTTGGATAGATCAGGAGTAAATAAGCTGACTTGTGGCTCTTGTCCAAAACTGTATATTGGCCAAACTGGAAGAACATTTTCCCAAAGAACTAAAGAGCATAGAAGCAGTTTTATAATTGCGTAACAAATACTTAGAACAAATAACTGAATATAGACAAGAACAACGGCAAATTTTCTATTTGGACGAAACTTGGTATGACACTCACGACACTTACGAAAGGGTGGACTGATGGTCCACTGATGAGAATATGTACGCCTAATATGCCTGCAAACAAAGGATCGCACTAATCATTGTGCAGTGCGGTGGTGATCTAGCTTTCTATCACTACTGGACCTGGTCCAATGCCCAAGTATTGGTTCATATGAATGTTAAGACCTAGTACCACCATTCAAAAACAAATTTCATCCCAACCCCACTATCATTACTTTGTGAACAGCTCTCGTAGATTCGTGAAAATCACAAGTAGAAAGCTTCACGCTTTTGATTTTTGTATATGTTGTATCATTCCATCATCCAGGAAAATTATAGAAAAGTACTCAATTGTAAATTCAATTTAGTGAAGTCTATATACACGTGAACTTTTTTTAGGAACCCCAAGCTGTTTCGAGCAATATATTTGACATATGCAATAGGTAACCAAAAGTTCAAATCGTAATATCAATGTATTCTTCTATTAATTTGAGAATTGAAACTAATGAGGAATATTTGAATAAACTTACCTTATATACGCTCCATGCACCTTCTATTCTTGAATTTGCATCCAACACCTTCGATGACATAATAATGAATGAATCACACACATTCATAAAAGCAAACAAAAGTATCATTTGCAAGTGAATATGATGCTCTAATTATCACTTAAGCGGCAATTACAGATACGTGAAAGCATTTTATCACCTTGAACCTTCGTAATAAATATTGAACTAATAGGAATAATTTTGGAATTGATTGGTTTGTATTCTTACGTTCTCATTTCCGAAGAGGCTGATGATCCATTGAATCAACGTTTCGTCATGCATTATTTGGCGAACGTAGACTTGAGAAAAACTGACTTCCAGTAAAAGTTGATAATAAATAATTCAAGATAGTCAGTATGGAATACTGTTCTAAGAGTTTATAATATTTGGAGATGCAGCCCTTTGAATCCACAGAAAGTTTTTTTACTCTTAGTTTGAACTTGTTTGACGATTTTCTTTGATGCGTGTTAGTGAATATTCACTGTGTCTCTATGGAACAAATTCATTTTTAGCTAAACAGGTCATTTTTAGAAATAATCCTGAAACACGTCGATTTTTGATGTTAATTCACCGTATTTTAAAATAATAATCTAATATACAGGGTGAATTGCGTTCGAGTAATGACGTCACCGTCATTTTTTTTAAATGGAACACCCCCATTTTGTCTCAATTTTCGGATTACTCTAGCTGAGCNTGTTACGCGTTACTTTATTGGCACACACACAACTACTGTAATTTTGTCCACCCTGTACCAATTGGAATCAAAATGTGATACATTTTTGGAATCAGCTCAGCTAGAGTAATCCGAAAATTGAGAAAAAATTGGGGTGTTCCATATAAAAAAAACTACGGTGACGTCATTACTAGAACGTAATTCACCCTGTATATTAGATTATTATTTTAAAATACGGTAAATTAACATCAAAAATCGACGTATTTCCGGATTATTTCTTCCATACTTTACGGACACATTGTATATGAGGTGAGTTCAAAAAATAAGGTGAATATTCATTTTTCTAAAAAAATATTCATGTATCCATCAATTGACGTTTTGTCTCCTTCAAAGTAGTCCCTCTCAGATATAATATACTTGTTCCAGTGTTTTTTCCAAACCTCGAAGCAGTTCTGATATGCACTTTTTGGAATGTCCTTAAGCTCTCTGAGCAATTGGGTTTTTGTCTTCTCAATCGTCGAAAAACACCGTCCTCTCATGGGTCATTCAATCTTGGGAACCCGAAAAAGTCGCAGGGGGTCAAATTTGGTGAACATGGTGGCTGAGGCATGATTACTGTTTTTTCAAAGTCTGGTACAACTTCCTTTCAATTGATGCGGTTGGATCTCTTAGGGTCTTCGTGTGTTTTTTTTTTCAAACCTCTTTGATCTTCTGTTCGTGAAGATCTGTATCCATCACAACAGTAGCGTTTCCCTTATCTGCAGGTGCGATCTTGAAGAGGATACGTAGCCCGTAGCCTTTTCATTCTTCATTGCTAATGTTAGCTGTTGGAACTGCTTCGATCTGATCAACAAGGGAATGGGTGGATTCCACTGCAGTTATCATTTCCAAAGTTGGCGCAGATGTTGGTGCAATGGCAAAGTTCAGACCTTTACTCAACAAGAATTCCTCTATATCCTCTATATCTTCTTGTCCTGTTTTCGATCTGCATTTGGACATTGTTTCCTCACCAACTTTCCTCACTTTCTGTTGTGGGTATTCTCCATGTATTGTCGGATCTTCAAGCACGTGCTTTCAATTTTGGCAAAGATTGGTCTATGATCCTCTTCCATGGTCTCTTTTCTAATTTCTTCGAATCGTTCTGTGACATCCTGCATCAGAGTTGACCTCTTCCAACGGTGGTAATTAATTTGAGACCTGATCAGTACTCGGCAGGCACGTTCCAATATGCGTTTGGCTCTCTTCCTGGGATTGGCGATTTCAGTAGAAAACCGTTGGATATGATGTTGTTATCTCTAGGTCTGCACAAGAAGCTGAGGTAAGTTTCTTCTTTGGTAAGCTTAATCATAGTCTTCTCATATCCTCGCTGGTTCCGAGCCCGTACTGTACCAGTTATTTGAACAAACATGTTTACTGTTCAAACAAACATGATTACTGTGTTGTTTTTTGATAAAAAATACGGAAATATGAACTGAATTCTCAGTCCAAGTTCATATTTCCGTATATAACTTTTCTCTATAGTACACTTTCTGCTAAAAGAATATATTATGCGGATTCTTTGATATGTATGAGGTTAGTTTCATCTGGTATCAAGAGTATTTATGGATTTTTTGGTCATCACATCAAGAAAGGTAAGTTGAATATGAGCTTTCCTTTCTCAGCTTTGTTATTTTTCAGATTATGGAAAGTTATACATTCAAAAAACAGTTAAAAACATTGAAATAAAAAAAGTCTCTCAAAGAATAGAAAATGTTTATTACTAATTCCTTGAATATGCTAATTCTCTCATGAATTCAGTGATACTTTTGAATCAGGAGAGATAAACTTCCATTTGTACTCTCAACTATCTTTAATTTTGGAGCTAACCAAGCCCTTCTGGCCCAGTCCGATCCTGTCTCTTACTATTTACTAACCCTGTGTAAATAACCCCCTTTTTCTCTTAACTCTTTCCGGCAAGGTGGTACACCAATCTGTCTCACTTGATGCATAGTGGTACAAAATACGTACCTCCATTTTCAAATGTTTCTACCGGTGTGCTAGAGCTGAAATATCGATCTATAGCACTTCTTTGAGGTTCTTCCTCCATAAACGAGATGGCGGTAGCTAGTAGAATATAAAAGATAGCACGTGACATTGCGGTAAATGGTCAGTTAGATGATCTTTTAGCTCAATGGTCGATCGCCAACCTGTCGATCGCGAGCTACCGGTAGCTCGCGGAGGCAATTCTGGTAGCTCTCACAACGATTTTAATTTGAAAAATACAAACTGCAAAAATCAGAGAAGCTTCCGAAAATTCCACAAAAAAATCTAATTGTC